CCCGCGGGCCCAATACGGTTATCCGGTCCCCCCAGCCCTTCGTCCTCACGCTGGTCCACCTCCGGGAATCACTTTCCCGAACGCTCTCTCGATGCTCATGCTGCGCTCAAACCATGCGGCACACGTAAGCGGCAGTGTTCCTGGTCAGCGCAAGGTGGGATTCGCTTTTTCGTTTTTTTGTGAGAACGACTGAGAAAAAAGGCGTATTCCAGACGTCTAACAACTTCGAGATCCATCCGCTTCACCCTGAGATCCGTCATGTCGTTCCCCCATCGGATCCCGTAAAGCCGCATTCTGACGAAGTGAGAAGGAAAAGGAGGAATCAGCACAACAAGTCACGTGGCGCCAATCGTCAAGCAGCGGCTAACGCGTTGACGGCGACGGCAGCTACTGCGCCCATCACACCGAGTCAGATCGTAAGCGGGTTCAATTCCGTAAGCAGTCGAAGACTAATTGCAGACCAGTTTCATCCAATAAGCATGGCAAATGATAATGTGATAAGGTCGTTTTGATAGCGTCGTTGTGAGGCATTTCTACCTCAAACTTTTTTGGCTAGTGGGGTCGGCATAACTAATGGAGTTGCTTGAACTGCTACAATTCCTAGCTCATGTATGAAAGTGAGTGGCGAAAGAAGCGTTCTCTACAAGTGCATCACGATCGATTCCCAGCGATTGAGGTCTTTTCTTTGTAAGCTCCTCCTGGCCGGACTTCGTAAGTTTCCCTCTACTGCTAATGTGGTTTCGCAGTAACTTGTGGAGTTCTCTTGGAAGCTGTCAAGGATCTTCGTGTGCTCATGAGAAAGGCCTAAATAGTAGAGAAACAAAGAAGGTGAGACGTGCCCTTAAAGGTACAGTTTACGATAATTTTGAGGTACCCTTTTAAGGTTTAAAAGGGGAAGTGTTGATGTAGAGTACATCGACAGCGAAGAAAGCGAAAAAATCCGCCTACTTCAAGGTTTTTCAGAATTAGTGGAGTGGAGCTTGTACGAAATCACCGTGGCGGGAATGGCATGTAATGGGTGTTTGGACGAGATTTATCTTGCTACCATCGCTCAAAGAAATGACTACATCAGGCTGAAATTGTCCAAAACTGCCTTTCACTGCCGCCATGAGCAATGGAGTTCTTTGGGCTTCCCACATGAGAGCCTCTTGAGATAGTGCTGCTTCCACAAAACCGTTGAAACTCGTCCATGAAGGGTGTGGCATTCACACGACACAATCTCTTGCCCCTTATGGCACCCCATCCGTAACGTTTTTTCAACCTTATAACGACAGGTATGGTATAGGGGGAGCCTCGACTTCTCAAAAACCATTTCTATCGTGAACTGTGTCTTTTAAGGCCTTTAAAGCGGGTTTTAATCTCTTCGTCTTTCTCATACTCTGACGGAAATGAAGAAGTCGAAATGTGTGCATATTGGTGTAATAGGTCGCATATTATAAGCGAAAGAGGAAAGGCCACAAAAAACTAAAGATTATAGTAAGTACATCAAGTGCGATCCTGTAGTAGGTCCAACATTTTAGCACAACTCTGAACTTTACTTAGAAGCAGCAAACACTGTAAAAGTAATCGAGAACTCACAATATATAGCAGCCTACTCAGTTCAATGATTCTACAACTGACTTCATACTCAGTGCTTGCAGCTTGCAGCACTGAGTATGAATCTCCATATCTTGCGCAAATTTGCCAAGTAGCCTTGAATATGGTGTAAGCAATCAGTATCAACGCTAGGACATCATTTGAAAGTTACGCGCAGGGCCTTCGTCGGGGCTCTGGTGGCATAGTGCGAGGGCTACCGAGAATGAACGGCTCGCCCAAAGAAGTTAGTCCTAATCGGGAAATCATGTCTCGCTGTCAACAGGATCTGCAATCGAACATGACTATGAAAGTAGATACGAAGGAGGATATTGGACAATAATATACGTGCTTGCACCGCAAGCCGGCTGTTGCGACTATTAATAGGACGAGTTCTATGAGAGCCTAGATGATGCCATTAGATCAATCCCAGAATGAGACTATACCACCATACTAATCTGAATGATCACGTTGGCAGTGAACGGAGATTCCTAGAAAGGGTTCACGGAGGTAGAGGAATAGAGGAATAGGAGTTAGTATTGAAGAGGGAGAGGGAGTCCCGACTGACCGCACCACGACCTGATTGTCTGCAGCACCTACCTCATCCAGATGGTGTTTTACAGCAGTGGAGGGTAACAACCGGAAAACGATCATGTGGTCAGGCTCAGGCTTAGGCTTAGATGGTAGTTCCTCGAACGTTCAGAGAATAGGTATTCTGCTTTGTACATAAGAAATATCAAAATACAAGAAATCAAAAGAGACAAGGCAGCATGTTTCTGGAAGAAGCTAAAAGGGTCGTTAAGCAGAAAAAAGACGTGTAGAAAAACGGCAATAAACGCGATCCTCAGCAGATCCATCTGCCTCCAGATGTTGCTAACTGCTCTCCAAAGATGCCGTAGCGAAGGCAAAGAATACGGAAATAAGTGTTTTCTACTACAAGATCTTGAAGGCCGAGAAGGAGAGAAGTCCGCGGCCGCAGCCCTTCATCTTGTTCTCAGGACCACACTGGACATCGGGGTACCACAGTTCGTAAAGAACAGCAAGGGTACCGGGACTGAGGTCAAGCGGCTTCTAAACGATATATTTAACGTGAAACCATTTCTCAGGATGAGTCGAGTGCTGACCCAATCACAATACGGGCAGTGGATGAAATCCGCAGTGCAACAGGGAAGATGAAGGTTGGGAAAGCCATTGATTAGGATGGTAAACTAACCTAAGCTTAAAAGACGCTCGAAGATTGCAGGATTAGGTGGCTCACTCGATTCCTTAACAACATGACCACCGAATTCCCAGTTTGGATTCCCAATGCAAGGACAGGGTAGCAGCCGCATGACCTTTGCCGCTCGCCGTGGGAACTCGGGGAAAAGTTTCGTCACCCTTGAGTGTTCAGTGAGCTCTGCTCTATTACTACATTTTACTTCTAAACTCGTGCTGGTAGAGACAAAATCTGTTTAGATCACCTGATGTGCTACTGCTCGTGCTAACACTAGCCTCATGTACTCTTTACTCTTGGAACACCTCATGCCTCGTACTTATCTACTTGGTCTGCTTTCTCTGCTGGTCTCTGCTTCAGTCTCACTCTTTTCCTTCTTATGTCGCAACTTAACATCAGTGATATGCAGTCCTTGAGAGCTTCGAGACTTCGTTCAACACCAATAATTATGTAGTGGCTTCATGTTAAATTAATTCCACGAGGGTTTCTTCTTTCTAATCATTGCGTCGTGCTTTAGTTTGCACATACACCGCTGCCATTTCTTTCAATGCTTCTTGCATATAACTGTACTCATAGCAGCATATGCACGTTCTTTCTTCCAATACTGGATGGGCTCGGCCCGGTGAACGCGCTTAGTTTTTCCAGTGAACCGGCGGGCGCAGTGGACCGTGCTGCTATGTACTACTACTTGATGTTTTACGTAGTTTTAACCGTATAAACTATAGAAATTTGGTGAACGTGAACCTCGTGAGAGAGGACCAAATGACTCCGTAAGATCGTGCGCAATCATAAGGAGCGGATGACAATGTGCATATATTACCCGTACCACCTTTCGTCCCGTTGATCATCGATGTCTTCGCGCGCCAGTAACGTGTCCACTCGTCCCTGTCACGAGCCAGAGTTGTCCAGTGAATCGCACTCGCTCTAGGGACGCGGGGCAAAACATTCCTTTCATCCAGTTTTCCACGGCTGGACACTTTGCATTCCGAAAGGTACCGCGTGAAGAGCTTAGCCAGAGTCCTGACGATCACCGGTGGAAGATTCTTTAGATGTTCCGGTTTGATCCTATCGGGATCGGGCGTCGTACCATTCTTCAGCGACGTGATGGCATGTTGAAATTCGGAATTTAGAACTAAAGTGACGACATATCCTGCTAGCACAAGAGGCAGGCAGATAGTGGTAGGTAGGCAGATAGACGTGGTGTCAAAGAGACCAGAGTAGAAGTCGTAGATGACCTTCTGCATTGCCCTTCGAGATGCAGTAACTGTTCCGTCAGGACGATAAAAGGAAATCATCTACGTCTTGTAATTGACGAAGCTCCGTCTGGCTCTGATTACATTCTGAGTATCGTGTGCAATGGCGAGGAACTTTGAAACCTTTACACATAATCTGTCACCATAATGTCTTGTTTATACACAAATTTAATTTTGGATCAAATGAAGTTTTTTTTTTCTTTTTGTGTACCAGTATTTTGTGATAATGTTGACGGAAACCTTGACAACGTGCAATAGGTCTCTTACACAGTCCCTACTTTTTGCGTAAGGCCCCGCCCTGCTTTCGATTGTCTCAGGCACATTCTACGTGGTGGGTGGCATCCCTGAGATAAAAACATCTTGCAAAGAGTATCTGTGCCGATTGCAAAACCTTGGAGAGAGTTGCTTTGTAGAGAATTTTCGGAAAGTTCACAAAATATAAATATAACCCTTGCGGACTCATAACGTAAAAAGACTAAAAGAGAACCTTCATTCGTATACTGGGTATTGTGAGCCTTTCACCCGTATAGAAATTTTTGAGAGCATAATTGGTTCTAATAAGTAAGACAGAAAAGCTGGAGGTATATCGGCAATATTCTCATGAAACTCAATGAGGATTCCATTAAAATCACATAACTGAGAAAAGATGGTAAACTGGGAGATGTGCTCGATTCGCGGGCCAGACTTGGCAATGTTCGGAGATTTATGGATCAGGGTTCAAGTTCCATCTGAAACGAATTGCTTCCCTTAAGTTATCCACAAAATCCAGTTATCTCCACTGCCAAATCTATACTGTCGTGTTCAACTGTAGTTTGCGAATTATGCGGATGGATCTGATTTTTGTTATGTATACTAAAACCTTGGGCAGAGCCGTCTTTTAGAATCTCCACTCAATGTCAGCATGTCTGTCCTACGTACGACCCAACCCACGTAGTAAATGCGGCACTTAACGACAGATGTCCATGTTAATTAATGGAGCGATTACCACCATCCGCTCCGGAGAGGAGCCTGGAGATGATGATGTTTTTGAGCAGAATGCAGATGCCTCGCATCCATTCGCTTCCTAGGAAACCAAGTTCTTACAGGTAGTCTCGTCAACAAATGCCCCAGGTGGTGGAACGATAGTATCGTCACGTGACGAGAAAGGGCAGATCCATGTAAGAGTCGAGTATGATCGTAATCAGGTTGGTTTATGGTCGTTGGGGTTTATGGTATGGTCGCAGTCAAGTGGACCATTACGGTATATCGTGTCATTCAGATACTTCGCTCCGCCCACTCACCGTATTCCCTGCTGCCACCCGCATGTTTGAAGAGCATTGTGATGAACACGTCCGAAATCCTGAGTCGCTTCCCACAGCGGCATGGCATTAATCTCACTCCTACTTGTGAGGTTGCAGCTTCGTGACCTCTTCGCAGAGCCGCTCAGCCCCGTTCCCAATCTAGCCGATAAATGTTAACCTTTTTTGCTATTCTCTTGTATTATGCTAATTGATTTCATGCTTTCGGTTTTCTGTGTTTAAGTCAAAGAATAAAGTTTGTTTGGTATTGATTAGAAATCACACATGGCAGAAAAGTTTTCGGCACGTGCCATCGGCGATTACAAAAAAGTTTTGTATTTATGAAAATAAAGGGCAAATGGAAGGAGTCGAAAATACGTACCGGACGACTTGGCACTCCGTTTCAACATATATCTCTCGTTTCATCCCCGTCTGGGTCACAACGTTGGTTTCAGTAGACCTTTTCTCTGGTGCTCATACTGCCTGTATACCTCCCGACGCCCACTAGTGGAAGGTATTTGAACGAGTATAAAGTTGTTTAACAGTATGTCACCCAGAAACGGTCTTGTCTCGATTAGGAAGCTTACTTTGTAGGAGAAACCCTTAACAAACATGAGGAGGAAGTAGACGAGATATCCGGCATTCCCACGGGTACGCGATGATGGGGACTGCTGTTTGTTACGTAGGTTCTGGGTCAGTCCCGCCCCTAGTCATATGTGCGCGATGTTGTGGCNGCTTGCTCCGCCCGGATCGACATTTACCCACTCGTCGAAGACGATTCATCTGGTTGGAGTTCGGGTTTAGTACCTCTCTACGATGAAGCCTTTGCTTCCCCTTCTTTTGATTACACTCAGACTCCTGAAACGAAGACTTTCGAGCTTTGCGGGTGCTCTAACAATGAAACCTGTGACGACAGCATTTCAGAGAGGTGAGTTGAAACATTTGAATGCTTTTTATTGTGTTCCCGAAAGTATTGCTGTTTTTGGAAGTTTCCAGAACTATTTCCAGGAATCTCCGTTTAGACGATATTGTGACGTTGACATTTTGCGAGGATGTCCGGCTGCAACTGCCCCTTCAGTGTAGAGGATCGCGGGGTCTGCCACGAGTGATTGGGGTCGCTCATCCTTCAGGTAAAAGCTTCAGATCATGAAATCGATTAATTGCATATTTTCTGTAACTTTTACCAGTATCCTGTCGAATCTCACAGTGAACTGACACTTTTGAATGCTCCCATCACTGACTCCTTTCCCATGATGATTATCGCGTCCTCCTATTTCTTTTGTGATGGTTATCTTCATTCTGACAAAGTGTACCACTCACTTAGTCCACGAAATCAAAGAGAGTGACATCATCAATTCTCGCATGGCCCATTGATCGCTCATTGATGTAATCTACTGCTCGGCTACTCTTCATTGTTTTCTTCTTGCGAGGTTTCAGAGGGTACTGAAAGGCCCATTTAACACGAAGCACACCGTCCAGAGTTTCGTCCAGCCCGCTTGAGAGGCACGGGATTTTCGCGAATTCTGTCGCGACGACCAGACGGCAGAAAGCCGTTTCTGTGTCATTACAATGCAAAGGATCTGTCCTATGGTCATTGTGCTTATGGCGAAGTTCACTTCCGATTGGCCCGACTGAACTTCCTCCAGTGGTTAAAGGGGAGAAAAGAAGTAGGAATGGGAATTAATCTGAATGACTATCTAGCTGAAACGAAAAACCTCCGAGAGAATTTCCGAGAGTTCTCTTTCCCTAGCTGGTAGATTGCACAAGTATTTCACGTCATCAAGATTACTTGATTTAACTATACTTTTACAATGAAAGGACTGACTACACACTTCGCACAATTCTCTCGCATGGCACATCTCTTCTCATCTCACATCTTTTTCAATGTTTACATATTTTCTCTGAGTTAACTCGCTCGAGCAGTTTTATAAAAGAAAGGATAAAGTCTTTGGGCGTTAATCAATCCCGTCTGAGGGATAGGTCCCCACATTCAACCTCCATTCAGCATCGTTGTGGCATACTGAATCAAATGTGGCCTGTGCGATGGATGACTTGAGATCCACAGCCGATGTACAAGTCGGTGCTTTCACCTCTCCAGGACAGAGGTCTGGAAGGTAGTGCTCACGATAATCTCACTCCGAGCGTACCCCTAATTTTTCCGCAGCAGATAACGTATAAAACACGTTCATGCGTCCCGCAAGAACGCTTGGCACCGCATCCTTAAGAATTTATGCGAGGTAACTTGACAAGCCTTCGATCTTTTCTTTGCCCAACTGAGATTTGAGACAGCGGTAGAATTGAAATACAAACTGCATGTTTTTTTCTACTTCGTTTTTCTCGAAAGGGGTGCGAGCTTTCATTTTGTCACGATTGTTCTCGAAAGGGGTGCGAGCTTTCATTTTGTCACGATTGTTATTACCGTAGAGAAAGACATGCACTCACAAAAAAAGATTGACTACTATTCATATCACCACCAAAACTTCAACTGATCTAATTTATTAGGTTGAGACATAAGTCCTCGGACAAAGTAATAGTGATGACTTCTAGAGATTATAACTCGGGAAAGAGGTGACGAAAATGGACGCGCGAGGCATCGTTAGATATAGTATGAAAAGCTCTTCCAAATACATGCTAGCGAGTACACCTGACCATCTCCTGCGCTTGAGCGCGAGGAGAGAAAGTGCCATGTCGGCGCGAAAATCCATGTCATATTGCTTAAAAGCATGAGGCAGACATTGAACGAGCTTTCGCACCTTTCCGATGGACTTCAATCCACGTATGATTGTGGACTACCTCCCCAAGGGTGGCTGCCAGTTCACGAGTAGTTTGGTACGGATCGGCTTCACCTGGCTCCGCAGCATGTCCAAATCCAACTCCATTGAGCGTCCCGGACGGTCTTCATTTTCGATGGAATAGCCGTCCGACTTGAACTTCGTGTACCACTTGTAAAT